TTTTCTGAGACAAGGTTTCTCTCTGTAGCCCTGGCTGTCTTGAACTCACTCTGTAGGGAGCGCCCCACGCACCTGCCACCTGCCACTGCCCTGCATCTGTTAAATACTTACTATCAACTTTGTAATAGTCATTTCGGAAAACTTAAATGCTTACCCTGGCTGTAGAATGTAAAATGATATTGTGTACCGCATAAAACACATTTTAGAAAACACTAATCAAAACCTGTGGAAGATGGGAGAAAAGTTAGGAGGGGGTTATGTTTAATCCAGTAATGTTAAACAAATCAGTAGTTGGAAGGATAGCAGCCATGAAAGAGCCTATAGCAAACTTCCAATGAACTGTGTTTGGAAAATAACCGAAGCAAATGGGGTAAAACAAATCCTGAAAGTCAAAAGTTCGATACATGGATAGAACTTACTTTCAGTACTTAACCATGGCCCTTCCTACATAACATGAAAACCATCACCACTAAAATTTATTTAGGGAAGGGCTGAGATGCAGCTCAGAAGTTGAATACTGGCACAACATTCTCTAGGTCCTGGGTCAATCCTTCCTCCCCTCCCATTAAAAACTAAGAAAAAAATTAGACAAGTTATTAACAGTGGGCACAACTGTCGATTGTCTCAGATAATTTGCTTGCCCAGTTTCTTTGGTCATCTGTAGTATACTGTTAACTGTAAAGAGGATAAACTTGGGAGAGCTAACAGATGCACTGGGTCCACTTTACAATGGCTTCTGCGATTTTTCAAAATTCTTGGAGGGAGTTCCTTGGGTTCTTCTCAGTAGAACTCTGTAAGAACCGCAGTTGTTTCTTTTATGAAAAATATTGCTGTAGGCTACTTTAAATCCAATCTGGTCAATGAAGAAATGTATTATTGTATGAAATTATCTGTCACAAGGCTTCTTTATAAATTGACCTGCTAGGAAAGGGATGAATGCATTCCTTTACAGTTAAAAACCTTGCCTGAAGCTGCATGCGTATGTCTTTGTTCTCAGACTTGATACATTTTTCTCTCACCTCAACTGCTTTTCATTCATTTTTTGCAGTTGATTCTAGTTTTTGAGGTTACTGCTGTTTTCTAGTATTCTCTACATAGCACATTATCACAACTTGAACTGATTTCTTAAGTAACTCTACTTGAAGCAGTGCACTTCCTCAGAAGCAGCAGGATCTTCCTGGGCCTGCACCAGGTCCTTTGAATATATTATACCTTCTAGTTCAATGTTTTTATGTAATTCCTGAGTATGTGAACATGTGGGTCTGTTTCTTGTGTCTTCTCTTGGGCTCTTTTCCTTCTGTTTGTTTTATCCAATTCTGACATATTACTTTTGTTTTATCTTTTAAATTTTTAAAATTATTTTTTTAATTTACATTGGTGTTTTGCCTCTATGTATGTCTGTGTGAGTGTCAGATGATGTGGAACTGGAATTACAGATAGTTGTGAACTGCCATATGCGTGCTGGGATTTGGACCTGGAACCTTTGGAAGAACAGTTTGCTTAACCACTGAGCCATGTCTCCAGCCCTTGTTTTATCCTTTTGTAGTATACTTTACTATTATACCTTAAAAGCCTGTTCGTTTTCTAATGAGAGATATACAGGGAATGGATACAGATGTGAACTGTAAGGAGCAAATGGAGGGGAACCCTATAAGGACATATTATGTGAGGAAAAAATATTCAACAAAAATTAAAGTCATTTACTAATAAAAAAGGAATATTCTCCAAAACCAAGATTTTGCAAATAAGTTTACAAAATTAAAAGTGTGGTACTTTTCAGGAAAATGTCTGAATATGTGCTATATAATATATTTGCTTAATGTTTAACCATGTGAAGGCATGATTAAATATCTTATAAAGACACACCTCATTTTTCAAAACTATAAGCATTATACTTCAAAAATCTGCCACAAACAAACTCTACTTGTCTTACAGTCTCCGAGTCATACTGGAGAGGTGTCTGAGCTCTGTGCAGTAGGTGCAGCTCGTGTGCACAGTACCATGCTTTCCTTAGAGATGGAACCCAGGAGCGAATTTCCACTTACATCGCTCCCCTCAGCCCTGATACCCCTGAAATGGGCACCGATTAGCATAACTATTTAACACTGCTGTTACATGTTTCTTGGAACCAGAGCCCAATTTGGTGTTTTGATTATGTGCATACTTCAAATAGTTCTCTTGACTTTCAGATGTTTCTGACACACTGGATATCACAGCAGGAACTCTATGACACTGACAGCCATGGGACCGTATGCAGTGCGTTTATCTTCCAGCATTAAACATGTATGTGGGAAAAACATGTAAGCTTCAAAGGGCCAAGGCTGAGTGTCTTGTATTCATTACAATACAGCAGCCAGCAGCACAGGGTAATCCTCCTAAGAGTCTAAGATGGATTTGTGACGTCTAAATAAAATGTTTATTAAAGGAATTTGGTCTCGGCCAAACACAAGAAACCTATGCACATACTTCGTCAAGTCAACTACAGTTTTTCACTCACAGACCAGAGTGTCATTTCTCACAAAGATTCCCAGAATTAGATCCTGCTTGAGAAAGAAATGTCAGGAAAAATTTGTAACAGTTGAACAGAAATCTTTAATTACAATCTCTGAATTTCCATTAGCTACCTTCTTTTCCAAAGTATACAGGAAGATAAACTCCTTTTCACTCTCGCCTCCTGGAAAGGAGTTTTACAAGAGTGAGCTGTATCTACAGATACCTGCTCAGGGACATCAAAGGCAGAGGACAGAAATGCCAAGTTCAAGGGCAGTCTAAGGTATATGCTAAGATCTGAGCTTAAAGAAAACAAGGAGTAAAAAGAACTCTAGAATGCTGCTTGTTATCAAGCAATCAAAAAAAATTTTTTTTCTAACCAGTGCAATAATACAGGGAATAAAACCTTCGAAGTATGAAAAAAAAGTAACCATAATGGATGCTGGGATTAAAGGTGTGAACCACCACAGCGGTACAGGTTGCTTTTTTGTGTTGGAGTTCCAGTCAAAAATTCATGGGAGAAATGTGTCACTTCTTTAAAATGTTTGAAAATCACTGAGGCTTGAGAGATGACTCAGCAGTTAAGAGCGCAGGCTGCTGCTCTTCCAAAGGACCCAGGGTTCCTTTCCCAGCACCCATCTGTAATTCCGTTTTTTTTTTTTTTTTAGGATCTGCCACCTTCACACAAACATACATGCTGGCAGAACACTAGCATACATTAAAACAAAACAAAACAAAACAAAACCAATAACTAACTTAAAAAAAGAAAATAAAATAACAACTCTGGGGGCAGAAGTGGTGGTTAATGTCTTTAATGCTAGCATTTGGGGGGCAGAGGCAGTCGGATCTCTGTGAGTTCAAGGCCAGTCCAGTTTACAAAACAAGTTTCAGGACAGCTAGGGCTGTTACACAGAGAAAACAAAAAGTCTCACAAGTCTGGATGCTGAGAATATTTACTGAAAGGAAAACCTTATTGTGCTTTTTAAACCCCTCAGTTTTCTGTACCCAGACCTGCATCCTTGCTTATCAAGCAATCCACATTGAGCTATACCCATAGTCCTCTATTTTTCTTTGCTGGTTCTGGGGATGAAATTTATAGGCGCCCAGCAAGCACTCTTAGCTTTAAGCAGCATTCCTGACTCACAAACTTGTTTTTACCGAATTTTAAACTCAAGTCTTTAAACGAACAACAAAAAACCAAACACCAAACGAACAAATCAAAAAAATCAACAAAGAAAAAAAACAAACAAAATTAAATTGTGTATATGTAAGGACACAACTTCCGGTAATTGGTTCTTTTCTTCCACCACGTGGGTCCCAGGGATGCAACTCAGGCTTGGCAGCAAGCACCTTTACCAGCTGAGCCATCTCACTAGTCCTGGGCAAGTTTTAACATCTCTCTCCCACCCTTGTTTTACAGATGGTAAAATGTAAGCGCCAACTTCGCCTTAATTTAGCCTCTAAGAACACTGGAGAATTTATAAAAATAATCACGTTTCCGTGTATTGACGGTCCACTTTCCACTACATGACTGTCAAACCGGTCATAACTGAAGCTGGGTGCGTGGCTCACGCTTTAATAACAGTTTGAAGAGCGGGATGACAGGTAGAAGCAAAAAGGCACGCAGCCACCAAGGTGAAGGCTTCTTTACAGAAATCGAAAGACTCTCCCGGGCAGACTTCCTAACGGGAGGGGCCGCGGTGACCCGGAGAGGCCTCACTTCCTTCGCTCTCAGGAGGTGGGTCCGACCGGGTTCCAGTCCCTCTTGGCGGAAGAACGGAATGCCTTTAGTCAGTAGATGGAGGGTCGGGGCACCTCCTCACCATTCGGGGTAAGAAAGGCAACCCACACAGCCCGCGTGCGTGGCCGTGGAGCCTACTACGGAGATGGGCAGAATCCACGCCGCCCCGCGCCCCCGGGCCTGTCAGACCCTTACCGCCCACCCACCCCCATTCTTCGCCCTGAACTTACCGGGTGGGGGCTGCCGCCTCCGGCCTCGGGTGCGTGAGCCGCGTCCTGTCGGGTCTGGCTCCGCCGCGCTTCTTACAGCCGCTGCAGAGACGAGACTGAAACCCAGCGGCCGCAGCCGTCGCCACCGCCTCTGTTGCCGGAGGGTCTCGCCTCCATCGCTGGCTGCGAGGGCGCTGGGGGCACGTGACCGGAAGTGCCAGGGCGGGCCTCCGGGCCACGTGACCCCCCTGTGCGGCCGCCATGACACCTTCCGCTGGCTCCCGCCCTCCCCCACCGACGCCCGCCTGTTTCGTTTCCCCTCTCCGGTCTCAAGTGATGAAGAGTTTCGGGGATTCGGTTCGGCTCGCCTTCCTGCCTAGAGAGCATCCGGTCCGGATCGGCGGCGCGTCCTCGGCTCGAGGCGGCTCTCTGACTGCAGGCCGCAGGGAGCGTAATCGCGATCGCGGCCGGAGGGGGAGGGAGCACGCGCGGGGAGGGGCGTGATCATCACGTGACAAGGAAGTGCCGTTAACAGCGCTTTCCCCTGCCCCTGGCGCCTCTGGATGACGTTGCAAGGGCGGGGCGGGGCGACCGCTCGCCTGCTGTTCTGGTTCCGCTGTCAGCGCCTGCCGAAGGTGTGTGGATCCTGCCCAGGGAGGCCGTCTGAGCCGGCTAGTCAGCGCGCAGTTCCGTGAGCCGGGCTGGGAGAACCTCTCCTCCAGAGCGACAGATGCAGTTTAAAGTCACTGCGGTCTGAAAGGTAGCTGTGCTTGATAGGAGCGCTTGTGGTCAAGGGCTGTTCTGCTCATCCTGCATCTCCAGCGGGGCCTTCAGGGTCTAGGACACCGTTGAATGAATGTGTACATGAATGAGTGCATGAGCGAGTCGTTAATTTTTCCGAGGCAGTTATCTGATCATTCCTTCTTGGATAGGAAGATCTTATGGAAATAAAGTCTATTAATTCCCTTTGCTTAAGTTTTTTAATTTTTTTTTTTTTTACCTTTGTCTTTCCTTTCACGCACCTTGTAGGTACGCTTTGATTTGCTTTGGCTTTGTGAGCAGCAATCACTGTCTACCACTCTTGAATCATCATCAAAATAATCCCAGGAAGTGGAAGAGTGTTTCACTTTTTCGTGTATTCTGTTTTCGTTTATTATTGGGGGAGGAGGTGGCATGGCATACACAGAGGACAACTTTGTGTAGTTGGTCTTTTCCTTCCATCTTTCTGTGAGTTTTGGGGACCAAAGTCAGGTCACCATGCCTGCACAGCAATAAACCATCTCTTGGGCTATTCTTTTTATTTTTTTATTTTTATTTTTTGTGTATTCTACTTTCAAGCGTAGTTTGTTGTGAGTGTTGTGACTTTTGGAAAAACCTTTTTAAAAAATGGTAGATGTTCACTGATTTTTGGCAAGAACTTGCCATCTTCTAAAAGGCTAGAGTTAAAAATTTTGTTTTTTGATCTGACAACACACAGAAGTAACATTTAAGTTCAGCTTTTTGAAAACGTGAGGCTTATTAGTTTGAGAATATTTAACAAACAGCATAATAAAAACTACATAAGTTCACATTTATGGAAGGAAAGAAGAACAGAATACTCTTCAATAGCTGAAAAATAGGAGAGAGAGTAAGATGGGAAATGAAACTAAAAAATGAAGTAAAGATGAGATCACATGGAAAAGGAAGCTATTCTTTGCTTGTTGCTACTACTTGTTTCAAACCAGTTTTAAGTCTTTTCTATTCAAAATGTCAAGAGAGAGGCATTCCTTTTTCCCACAGATTTACTGGGAATGCCTCACTTTCACTTCTTTATCACTCACTCCTTACTTTTAAATTTGTATTTTCTAGCATCTGCCCATTGTACTTTACAGAAATTGTATAAACTCTCCACACTAAATCCTTCAGTGACTTTCTGTGACCTACAAAATTAAGTTTAGGTTTCTTGGCATAAAGTTGGAAGTGGTTTGTACCTTGAACCCAAATTTGCATTTTATATTTAACCAAGGACTAAACTTGCATTCTCCAGAAACATTCAGCGCTTTTCCATTTCTCCTGTTTCAGCTCTACCTCCTACCTTTTCTCCTTCCCTCCCTATAAAAGCTGACCTGAGAGTAGTGTTACTTCTTTTGGGAAGTTTTCTGCATGTTTGACTTCCTGTTATCCTTTAGGAAACTGTGTGCATGTGTATGTTATTTGTGACTTTCTCTTTATTTGACTAGAACTGATTTCTGGAATTCTTTTACTTATCATGTCTTCACAACTATGCCTACTAGTTTACTAACTACTAACTACTCAATAAAATAAGTGACTGAAAAATAGTTTTCTTGGATAAGGAATTGTTAAATATTTTGTGTATAGTCATGCTTAAGTTTTTCTTGTTTGTTTTAGAATACAATTCTTACAGAAGTTAAGTTGTATTAAGAATATATTATTAGCAGAAAATAAAGCTGTATTACATGTCTATAATAATAAAAAAAATCACAGGGAATAGCAGGGACCCATTCTGTGATAGAACATGTGTCTAGTATAAAGACGTTGAGTTGAATTCTCTGACACCACAGATGTAAGAAAAGCCTGGGGGCTGGAGAGCTGGCTCAGAGGTTAAGAGCACCGGCTGCTCTTCCCAAGGTCCTGAGTTCAAGTCCCAGCAACCACATGGTGGCTCATAACCATTTCTAGTAAGATCTGGTGCCCTCTTCTGGTGTGCAGGTGTACATGCAGACAGAACATTGGATACATAATAAATAAATCTTAAAAAAAAAAAAAGAAAAGAAAAGGCTGCAGGTGCTTCTGTGTGTTTTACCACTCACTCAAAGGTGTGCTCTAAGATTAGGACTTTGTTTTGTCCTCTGCTGTTATCTCCACAACAATGTCCAGCATGTAAGTGATGCTTGGAGCATATCTGCTGAATAAGTGAATGCGCTTCTAAAATAGTGGGGAAAGCACACATCATAGAAAAAAAACAAACCGCTGCTTCTGAATTTTTCATGGCATCTGTTCGCCTTAGAATGTTTAATTATTTTTATTTGTGTGTATATTTGGTATATGGATATGTGTGTGGGGACACTCCTGCCCATGTGCATGTGGAGGCCAAAGGTGAATATCATATGTCCTCCTTGATGTACTTTCATGCTTGGCTTCTATGTGGGCCCTGAGCAGCCATACTCAGGACCTTATATTTATGCATGACACTCTTTACCCACTGTGTCATCTTCCCAGCTGCTGCTTCTGTTCCTCCTCCTCCTCCTCACTAACTTGGTGGGCAGCAGAAGACTGAGAAGTTAAAATTGATGAGGAGAAGGTTTTGAAGCTGCTGCTGTCCCTCATAGCTGCTTGACATTAGCTATGGTCAGCTCCACTGTGTTCTTTGACATGGACATTGATGGCAAGCCCTTGGACCCATCTCTTTCAAGCTTTTCCAGATAAAGTTCAAAAGACAACAGGAAATTTTCTATGATCACTGAAGTGATTTGATTATAAGGCTCCGGCTTTTACAGAATTAAACCAGGACGCGTGTGTCCAAGTGGCGACTTCACAGACCATCACGGTGTTGGTGACAAGTCTAGGTTTTACTGTCGTGAGGGTTATGGGAAGCTGAACTTGGAGCTTGCAGATTTTAGCATCATGTCCGTGGTGAACTGTGCTGGACCAAACTCAGCGCTTCCTCGTTTGTGTGTGCATTCTCAGAACTGATGGGAGGGCAAGCACGTAGATTTTGATCCTACGAAAGATGACTTGACCATCTTTGAGTATAAGATCACCAACCTCTTTTCTCTTTTTCCATGGAAATTGGTGACACTTGACCACCTCCTCACCAAAAAGAAGAGTAGTTGAACAGATAAGATGTCTCATTTGGCATTTATTGCCTTGTATTCTTCCCCTGCTCATCTTTCTCTTGTTTCTTTTGTGAAGGCCTTTATTCTGTCTTTTTTGTTTTTAATTTAGGGTGTTTCTGTGAGTGAGTGTGAGTGTCACAGAGTGTGTGTGGAAGCCAGAGAACTTCTGAGTCAATTATCTGTCTAGCAGGTGTGATTTAGGGAATAAATTTGGGTCATTTCAGACTTGACAGTAAGCAGGTCTGGGCCATCTGGCTGTCCCTAAAGCCCTTATTTTTTGTGGTCTAATTCTCTGTACCTCACTTCTCGGTAGGTACATTCACTCCTTTGGCATACACATGAAGCTCCAGCTAGACTAGAGAGAAAGATCCAGAGGCCTAGTCTCATGTTCAGCACTGTAAAATTGTTGGAAGATACCTAAGGTTTGATGACGAGGCTTTATCATTTGAGGCCTTTACAAAGGTTGCCTCTTAAAAGCTTCCTGTAGACAGATGATTTATGACACAAAGAAGCACAGTGGGATTACTACCTTATTCTTGAGGAGTTTGGCCAGTTTTCCCTTTAAATCCTACTCTGTCCATTATTAAATTGTTCCATAGTATAGTGGGATGGGACTGTGGAGGGACTTGGAAATCCAGGCCTAAAACTCTTGAGAGTCAGGTAACGACAAGTGTGAATGAACCTTTGAGTGTAAATGGTACCTAGGTGTATCCCCACCTGAACTTCCAGAGATGGTTGCCTCTTTCTGTTGAATGTTAATATAAGTTGAATGAGTGGTGATCTTAAATTGTATTTTTGCAGGTTTATTTGAGTGAGAACTCCTGTGTCTGTTACAGAACAGTCTTCATCTTTCTGGCTAGATGACTTCTGTGCCAGTGATACCAGAAGCCTACAGCCATGTCCTTGCAGAGTTTGAGTCCTTGGACCCATTACTCACAGCCCTGCGGCTGGACTCCAGTCGTCTAAAGGTGAACTTCTGTTTTGAGACAGACCCTCACGTGGCCCATTTCGTTTTCATAGCCATGAGTTCATGCTCTGCCATTCTCGGCCCTGCTGCGAGTTATTTGTGCTGTAGCCTGTGGTGCCTTACATGGAGCAGTTCTTTACTTTTGAGCTATCATTTGACTCTTCCTCAGTTCTGGAATGTGATACTGATAACTGTCTCAGAAAGTGACATGCTTTACGGCGTCAAATCAACATACCCCATTATGTTTTAGAACAGCATGAACTACTGCTGTTAGGCCAAGAGGAGGACTTTGATGCAGCCCTGCAAAGGGAGGGGATAAGCCAAAAGCTTGTGGAAATTACCTGGTTTCCTGAAACCTCAGATTCCTGATTAAACACAGGGGTGTCACAGTGATGAATAAAGTCTTCATCAGTCTCAAATGATTTTTATTCTTTTTTTTTTTTTTTCAAGACAGGGTTTCTCTGCATAGTCCTGACTCTCCTGGAACTTGCTTTGTAGATCAGGATGGCCTCAAACTCACAGAGATTCACCTGCCCTTTCCCTCCTAAGTGCTGGGATTAAAGGCATGTGCTACCACCATTCAGCCTGATTTTATTTTTAAACTTTTGCTGCTGTCTTAAATTACTTAACCTCCTGCCTTTCCTTTCCATCCTTTTCTTTCTTGGCCTTTCCATTCTTTTCTTTCTTTTTTCTTTTCTTGTCTTTTCTTTTTTTTAAGACTAAGTCTCACTCTGTGGCCTAGACTTGTTGGAACTTGCCTGTGCAGCCTAGGCGGGCACCACTCTCATGGTGATATGCCTGCCTCAGCCTCCACAGTGCTGATTGCAGGCATAAGACGGATGTCCCAGTGCAGATCTCTGCCCTCTGAGAAAGGGAGAAGAGGGACTAATAGCTAGTGCAGTCAGCAGTGGTGGAGGCCAATACTGGAAGTGTTTTAGCTGCAGGTTACGGCATACTTTACTGTCGTCCATAGTGGGCGTTGTGGAATTCTGAGTGCTCGTGGGAAAACAGGAGTCTCATGGCCTCAGTTTCTTCAGAGCACAGAATTGTTCTTGGAATGTGTTTTCACGTTCCTCCCAGGGGTAGTGCAGAGGAGTGAGTTTAATTCAGCTGCTGTTATTCATGGGCCTCTATGAGAACATGTTTTTGCCATGTGTGGCCTATCCTTGTGATTGAACACCTTTCTCATGTGATTCTTCTTAACTCTCAGAATATAAATTGTCCACTGCGCTGAATAAAGTTAGCTGTTGCATAAGACGTTAGCCCTCCTCATATTTAGGCCCTGTTTTCCAGGTTCACACTGCTAACTAGAGTGGCAAACACCTTACAAATAGTGGTTCATGTAGAAGTACATTTATAATCTGGAGTTCAGCATTACTTGATTTAGAGTAGTGACCCAGTAAGGATACTAAGAACACAGGGTTCTCTGTCTCTCTTCTCCCGTCATACATGTTGACTTAATTACAGTAGTAGTAGTTTAATATCCTATTTCGATTAGCAACTCCAGCACGAATGAGCGGCAAGAGCAAAGATTAGGACATTTTCTTAACTCTACCTTTCTTTAGAGAAGACAAAGTTTCCAAGAAGTTTCTAGCAAGTTGAGTCCACTGGCTGGGACTGAGTCTCTTGGCCAACTCTGGCAGCAAAGGAACCTCCAAAAAGGAATACTTGGGTTTTTGAGCTTCTGTGTTGGAAAGAAACAAAATTGAAGAGGGTTGAGAATAGTTTTTAGTAACCTACTGCTACATTTTTGGCACAGGTACTGTGTACAGCATGGACACAGCCTTGTCTGGTGGCTCAGGAGAGAAATGAGTGCACTGGGGCTGTGAGGAGAAAGGCAGTTGTGGGTGTGTGTGATGGTTCTGCAGATAGAGGTAGTGAAAGTGAGCAAATGATTGACGCAACTAGTTTGTCCGCTGGTAATTGTTTTGTTTCCTCCATTGTGGCTAGCACTAAATGACCTGGCCAAATTATGAAAATAGGGACTGTTTAATAATTGGTTTGTAACAGAGAAAAATTACTCATTTCTACAATTGAGCCTATTCAGCCTTTTGAGATTCAGCTAAAAGTTTAAAAACAAGCCAGGTATGCACCTATAATCCCAGCACTCTGGGTGGCAGAGGCAGGCAGATCTCTGTGAGTTCGAGGCCAGCCTGGTCTGCAAAGTGAGTCCAGACAGCTGGGACTACAGAGAAACCCTGTCTGGGGTGAGGGGAGTCCAAAAACAAAATGTTCTTTCTTTGGCATATTTCAGTATTCTAGGATTGCAAATGAGTGTTGTCACATTGTGTCCTTCTGGATAAGAGGGAAGGCAGGACCAGACTTGCAGTGCTGATTTCTAGTGCTAGGTTATTTTTAACAGTGCCAGGAGTGCAGCCTAGGTTCTTGGGCACGCCAGGCAGGTGTCCTGCAAGCAAGCTACAGCCCCAGCACACAATGGCTGTGGCACAACCACCTCTCACCTGCCTCTTCATCCTTTTAGTGTACCAGCATAGCTGTGTCTCGGAAATGGTTGGCACTAGGTAGCACGGGAGGAGGACTCAATCTCATTCAGAAAGATGGCTGGAAGCAAAGGCTGTTTCTCTCTCACCGGGTAAGATCAAGGATATCCTCCCATTTTTCCAATGTAGTCAATCATTAAGAGTAAAAGAAGAATGGAAACAAACTATTCTTTGTCTGATGTTCTAGGAAGGTGTGATCACTCAGATTGCCTGCTGTTCTCATGATGATGATTATGTTGCTGTAGCTACCAGGTGAGAAACTCTTAAAAATGATGGTCTTTCCCCTGCATGTGAACCTGATAGATGTGCTTGTCAGGATGACCAACCATCTCATTTCCCAGTGTTAGTACCGAAAGCCATGTCCTGGGAAACCAAATCTGCTCAGTGCCCAAGTCATCTGGGAGGGGTGGTTGGTCACCCCAGGGTTTGTGAAGAATGATTTGAGGCAGCGACATCTAAAAGGTCTTAAAACGGGAACCAGCTCCTTGAGGAGCCTATCCTCACACCTGGGTGTGTCTTAGTTCCCTCTCAGCACCTCATTCTCTTTCTATTCTTCATGCTTAAGCCTATAGTAAAATTTTAACAAAATCTCCAATCTTGCTGAGAGAGAGAGAGAGTGAACAGATAATTTGAACACATAGGTCTTCTAATTTATTGATGCTTTGATTTATAACTTTCCCCCCTAAGAACAAGAGTTTATACTATACTTAATATGGTTAATGTTATTTTGCAGTTCAGCTTTATCATTTTTGTCAT